AATTGATTTCTTAGTCTGATTGCATGAAAAATATTGAATTTATTTTTTTTTTTTTTAGGCTATTGTGACGTTTTATCGTTGTAATCTAGAAAGTTCTAACTGTGAATATTTTCAATCTTGGGATATTAAAGATGCCTGTCAAAAATTAAAAGAGACGAATCAAATTTGGTCAACTTGGTTCGAAAAAGTTATGCCTCCTTTGGTTTGTCCGATTGATAAAGTAAATATTATATTATATTATAATATTATATTGATAATATAAATATTTATAAATATTAAAATAAATTAATGTAAAATAATTAAAAATATCTTTCATATATATTATAGCCCTAATATAAAGCTTTGCAGTAAATTCTCATTCCACATTGTTATTTTATCTCATTCCTTTTATTGCAAATTTAAGTTAAGAACTTTAATAATGTAGAAAAAATAAAACCACAAATTGAAGACAATTTGATGAAAAATAAATAAAAATATATTGTGATTGAGGTATTCTGAATTTTAATCAAACGTAAAATTTGTATTAGATTTTTAATATATTGATCTAAATTATTTGCTTTAAGTACTTTGCCTAAGTTTCATAATTTGATTTATTGCAGTCTTGAACTGAGGCGTCTGGATAAGTAACCTCTTAAGGTTAGTCTTAACTAACCTTTGTATTTGTACACCAATAATTGTATTTATTATAGATCATTACTATAAAAAGAAAACCAGCAATATATAAAATTATGATTCGTTCCGTTAAAAGTCTGCCTCACACATCTACGTTATCCAACTGTTCAATTTCTCCTCTTCACGAGGAAAAAAAAGATTAGAGCATATACCTCACCTAACTGTTTTGTTTTCCTCTACTTAATCGATACTAGTGATGACACCGTATTTGATGTGGCTCCATCCTCTTATTATAGCACCACCGCATATTCACCTTTTTCCACGGACCACGTTGAACCTATTTCTTCGTCTATTTACACAAGTAATATCGTAAATATCTTCGCTTTCATGAATTGAATAGTTAAGATCATCACCCCAACGGGCATACATGTAATGTTTCTCACATCACATTTTATCGTCTGACCCAATGGCAGTGATAACTTGAACACAATAGCTGAGCATTTAATGAGAACTATTGTCAGTGTTCATAATCTTCGTTCTAGCTCTATGCGTTCTTTTAGGATCGTACCAGAGACCTCTTTTTTGAATTTTATATATTCATGGACGGACTAAAATATTTAAGAGGAACTTTTGGTTAGAGACACAAACCATCAATATCAATAACTAATTATATATTTTCAACTAAAATACTCATCAAATTATAGGAATTTCTTTAAATCGTTAGCAATTCTAAAATGATAGTAAAATTCTAGCTTAACCGACACAATTGTGTTATTATAGCAAGAATTATTTACTTTTAATAAAGTCCTATTATCTATAGGGATGCAATTAATATAGCTATGGATATTCAGAACCTTATGTAAAGATGAAAGAGCGGTAAATTTTATATTATGATTTACAGCCCACATAGTTAATAAATGTACAACAGAGTCATAATCATCTGTATATATAAAACAGTAAGCTGATTGACTGCTATCAACCATTGGACGCATCTGGCTGAAATTTGGCATACAGATAGCTATTATGATGTAGACGTGCGCTAAGAAAGGATTTTTCGAAATTTTGAATTTAAAGGGTTGAAATCGGTAATAGAAAATGTTTACATGTAATTTGTATTATTAAACCTAACTAACCTAACCTAAAGGTCCTAAGTCTGCCAAGTAACAGATCTCTTATATCTTTGGGACAAATTCAAAGAATACATATCTGAATTCCGTGGATGCAGAACACTTAGCGGACGTAGCGTTGAACAAATGCTTATCGGTAATAGAAGATTCCGTGTTAGCATTAGATGGTCAGCCACTTAAAGAATATGCGGGGGGCGTATTTAGGTAGGGGCTATGGTTCCCGTTGCCCCGAGCGGCAAATTTTTAAAGATTTAGGAGAGCGGGCAATTTTTATTTCATACTTTACACACCGACACAACTTACCCAAATGATTTGGCAACATGTTCTGTAAATGAGTGTGTAAAATTTCAAAGCTATATAAAAAACATTAAAGTTTAGTTTATAACAATACAGATGTTACGGTTCATAAGAGAACATAATTTTATTAGTGTTCATCCCTATGTTGAAGTAGCTTTACGTATTTTGTTGTGTACACAATCTACAAATTGTACTGTAGAGCATTCTTTTTCCACATTAAAAATAATAAAAGCTACTGACGGTCTACAATGGCTAAAGACCACTTCTCGGCTTTACCAGTATTAATAACTGCAGCTGAAATAACCACTTCATTGGATTTTGAATAAATAATTAATGATTTTGCTGGTTTTGAATCAAGGAAGAAAAATATTTGAATTTTGTATTTATATTGTATATCTAGCAATCAATAGAAGTTTTAATAAATAATAATAATTAGTAGGTAACAACATTTTTTTTTTAGTGGGGAGAAAATATGTGTTGCCCCTATCCTGAAATTCCTAAATACGCCACTGAGAATATGGCTTACCTCAGCTAAGCAAATCTGAACAATTTGATAATAGAGAGTATCTCAAGGAAATAAGTTATGACTTAGTAGCCTTAGAAGACGTCGTAAGAAACAATGAAGAATCTCTGAATGACGAACAAAAGTTTGCTTACAATCAAATTATTACAAGTGTTAATAATAATGAGGGTCGAATATACTTTTTAGACGCTCCAGGTGGAACTGGAAAAACTTTCTTAATCAATTTGATTTTAGCGAAAGTTAGAAGTACTCGCGACATTGCCTTAGCTGTAGCATCTTCTGGGATCGCAGCAACACTGCTCGAGGGTGGTCGAACGGCCCATGCTACCTTCAAATTACCACTCAATCTTACAACTTCGGCCACTCCCTTTTGTAATATATCAAAACAAAATAATTTTGCGGAAGTTTTAAAAGATACAAAATTAATAGTGTGGGGCGAAATTACAATGGCACATAAGGTTGGTGTTGAGGCTTTAAATAGATCTCTAAAGGATATAAGGGAAAATAAAAGGTTAATGGGTGGTGCAATGGTTTTACTGGCTGGAGACTTTAGGCAGACTCTACCAGTAGTACCAAAAGGGACCAGAACTGATGAAGTCAAGTCATGTCTTAAAAGATCTACTTTATGGTCTAAGATTAATATACTCAAACTGTCAAAAAATATGAGGGTACACTTGGGAGAGGAAAAGTTTGCTGGTGGATTTTCAGATCTTTTACTTGAAATTGGCAATGGTGATTATCCATCGTTTGATGAAATGATAACTATCCCAGAAAATTTGTGTACAGTTGTAACTACGGTTCAGGATTTAATATCAAAAATTTATCCAGATATTGCTCATATTCATGATAAGCCTATGGAATGGTTGTGTGAACGTGCTATACTCACTCCAAAAAATGACCAAGCGGTGGCTATCAATGATACACTACTGATGTCTTTTGAAGAGGAAGAAAAAGTATATACTTCTATAGATACGGTGGTCAACATGGACGATGCAACTAATTATTCGGTTGAATTTTTAAATTCATTGAAACCACCGGGCATGCCATATCATAGGCTTATTCTGCGTGTGGGCACACCTATTATGTTGTTGCGAAATTTGAAACCGCCTAAACTGTGCAATGGGACTAGACTTAAAGTCAAAGCTTTACATCGCAATATAGTAGAAGCCACAATTTTAACAGGATGTGCAAAAGGGGAAACTGTGTTTGTACCACGAATCCCTTTAATTCCGAATGATCATCCGTTTGAATTTAAACGATTACAGTTTCCCCTGAAAGTCTGTTTTACAATGACTATAAACAAGTCTCAAGGTTAAACTCTTAAATTTGCAGGAATAGATTTGCGAGAAAACTGTTTTTTCACATGGGCAGTTCTACGTAGCTTGCTCACGCGTAAGCTCACCCAGTAGCTTGGTGATTTTGTCGCCTACTAATAGATCAGTGAAGAACATTGTCTACAAAGAAGTTTTGTAGATAACATATTGAAAAACTATTAGTAAAACATTTATTTTGAACCTTTAGTGCTAAAATTTATCGTGAACAAAGCTTCTGCCGCCAAAAGCTATAACTTATCGAATAGGTTATGATAATAATCATTATCTTAAAAACTAAATTAATATGTATAAAATATTATTTCAAAAATCTTAATTAATTTAAATTTCAATAGATTTAACAAAATTTAATCTTGGCAGGTTACATACATTTATATACTTAAACCCGGCAACGACGGGTAATTCAGCTAGTTTAGAATAAATTATTGGTATTGGAAGTGGAAGTAGTATCATAAACAGAATCAGAACTAACTATATTATTAAACAAACTTTCAACAGAATTTGAAAAATCAAATCTTGAAAGTTCAGGATTAAATTCAATAGTACTTTAGAAATTAGGGAAATTACTATCCATATGAATAAATCATTTCTGACTGTTTACAATTACGTTAGAATCAGTATCTTGGGATGTACTCGGCTGAGGTATAATTTGAGATTATATTGATAATCTAACAAAAAATTAATGATTTCAACGTCCTCTAAAAGTGTCCTACGATTGGTGGATTTACCATTCACATTAGAGAATGACATGGTAGAATTTATTTTAAGGAAATATATAGCCAATTACTGAAATTTTATAATCTATGTAAAAAACTACACTATAAAAATTATATAAAAACAATAAGAAATTATATAGGTACAAGTATTTTCATTAACTTATAAAAATTCAACAAAATAAGCAAAACAATGAGAGCTAATAGTAGCTACAGTGGTATTCACTACTTGAAAAATAAATTATCCCCAATGAACTAGGCAAACATAGGATAAAAACATTATGATTTAAATAGTTTTATTCAAATTATACAAAAAAAAATAAAAATAAAAATTAACTTATGCATGTCAACCACAAACCTATACGAAAATACGAAGTTTACACAAAGTTGATGAACAATCAATAGGTTTAGCGTAATAATTACCAAGTAGCAGAAGATAAAAAACAAATTTTTTGAATTGGTGATACTCAAAATCATACAATAATAAAAGAATAGAAAAATGGATTTCAATTTGGTATTAAAAAATTTAATGGATTTATTAAATAAATGCATGTCACTGCATACTTGTAAGTTAGTCCTACGGAATTTAAACAAATA